AGGATCAGAAAACCGCGTTCGTAAAGCCTTTACTAGATCAGGCATCTGCTACAGCTCTGAGAGCTCATCAGTCCTTTTGCTATTCTTTCCTTCCAACCTTTAGTGCTCCTTTCATAGCTGAAGCCTGTTATCAATGGAAGCTCTTATATAACTACTGTCAGCTGGTCCTCAGTCACAGTGGAAAGGAATTTTTTCCTCTTTCTAAAAGTCAGCCCTGTAGGCCTTGTGAAGTGCTGTCAAATGGCTTTTCTGACTCCTTCTACAGTCGTGTCGAACAGCTGTTCGTTGCCTTTATGCGATCTCGCAGCCATCATTCTTAGCTTCAAAGGTGCTTGAAATGTCTCATTGCCTAAGTTTGCGTCTCCAGTATCTCTTCTGTTTCATCTCACACCTACGCCGACATCATGAAGACTGCAAAGTTCGCTTTTAAAAGTGAATCTGAGAGCATGGCAGGCAGGTTAATCCTAATTCTCCCTATAGTACCCTTGTACTCTCCTGATGCTGAAACGGGATGTATAATTGAGTGGAATATGTAATCACGATGGCTGTAGGACTTGAGGCTGTTAGCACGTTTTAGCGGTAATGCTAATGGTCAGAGTACAGGAGTGCGACTCCCAAATGATCTGCTACTCAAAAAAAATTGAACACTTAAAATTATGTAATACTACATGATCGTCTACGAACTTTAGTGTTACTCCATTATCTTGGTAAATTAGTCTATATAATGGGTGAAGTAATTTGGACAAAGCTATCCGTTCCTGAAGGAGAGTAACTGGGCCTAGATGCGGAGCAGTGGAAGCGAGATGTGGCAGAAGTTCTGTGCTGCTTATGTAATTTGCACACTGATTGGAGAGGCGCCGTCAACGGGGTTGTCCGAGTCGCACTTGTATCTTTCCTAGAGAAGGTAGTCATATTGCTGAGGCAGAATACGTGCTACTAGGGCTACTGGTACAGCCCGAAGTCTTCGATCTTCATAGGTGCCCTTAAAGATGACATTATAAGGCGTTCAAGCTTCAGCAGTGAGATGGGGCCCTTTTTGAAGGTATGTTGATCAAAGGCTCACCTTGCCATTTTGGCGACTTAAGAAGAGCGCATAGTCGTGCGCATAACCTTACGTGAATATCATTGCTCCTTCAATGCAGAATAAGGGAGGTGTAATTTGATGTTTTATGCTCAGCCATATGGAGATAATGGAAAACTAGAAACGCCGGATGCCTTGGCTAAGAACGTCACTAAAAACGTCATGGGTTCAATATGCAAGTCTAATGCATTGCATCACATTTCATTTTTGTCTGCTTTACTTGATCTACTCTCGCACCCCCATTCTCTCCTTCCTGCCTAATTACCGTCCCTCCATCCTCATTGTCTAATGTAGGAGTAGAGACAACCTCCTTGCACTGTACATGCATACAGGGACGCACGGCACGCACGCGTGCGCGCGCTCGAGACGGTGCCGACGGCGGCGGAGGAGGAGGCAAGACACGGCTTTGTGTATGTGTGTGTGTGTGTGGCTAGGCAAGACCAGCTGCTGCTACTGGTCTTGGCGTCACACTGGCCTCTCTCACCTTCTCCTCCAGCCAATCAGGTGGCAGAACGCAGTGTGCGTGTGCGCCCGCGTGTATGCGCGCGGAAATCTATTTCAGTCGCGACTGCTACTACTATTGCCTAATGCCCGTCATGGTGGGTGGGTCCCTCTTTCCAAGCGGTTAATTGGGGCTTTCAAGTGACTGATTGCTTTAGTTGGGTAATAGTTTTTGGTCCGGGATTGTGCCAGTAGTAACATTTTCTTTCAAGCCACATTCGGTGGTTGGAATTTTAGGCAGCGCTGTCATCAAGTTTGTAGGTTCATAGCTTGTCTTTCCTGTTGCCGGGACTGAAAGCAGCTTTTTCACTCGCTTTTACGCTTTCAACCTTCTAGTCGTCTTCCGCAATGTAACCGTCCTCCACTCCTTGTGGTCATTGATCCTGCTGATTCAAAGCTCCAGAGGTCTGGGGCTGTATTTTTAGTCACTGATGCAGTAGAGTGGTTTAAGTACCCCGGTGTAAATCAAGATGTAATGATCATGGTTGTCATTTGAATTTTAAGTCAGTAACTTGGCCGCATTGCTGAGAAGGCACCTTCGACTGTTTCAAGGGCTCATTACATTTGCAGCATCATTTACATTGCATCAATGGATGCGATGGAAATGTGAATTCTGTGCTAAAATTAAGACTGATCTGATCCAGTCATCAAGATAAAACAATGTCTCTTTCTTTTCCATCTAAAATGGTGGACCTTGAGATGGGCTGTAGAAATAGGGGATCATGTCTAGTCCAACTTGGTTACACCTGCATTTCTCCTCTCCCCTTCGGCCTCTTCGAACGACCTCTGATGTCTAAATGCGATAAAAGCAGTGACTCACAATGTGCCTGCCCCTTTTTTTATCGTCTCAGTCGGCTGCGCCACGCAAGCCTCTTTGTTCTGGTCTACCATAGTATATCTCATTCTGTTCCTCCGTCGGTAGTTAAAACTGGAACTATGATCGTGTCTCGTGGAGCTGATCTCTTCATTTATTCTTTATGCTCTCTTTTTTCACAGTTCATTGCTTCTCAGCTGTTTGTCCCGATTATTTTCTGGTCATCACAGCCTAGGGTGATGTCGGTTTCTCAAAGCATCCACATTGCCTCCCCTTCTCGTTTACCGAAGGAGGAATGGTCTCTATTTGTCTAACTTGATCGTATTTTAATTCACTAATCGTTGAACTCATCTGAAGTGTAATTCGATTAGCATAGAGTTGACGCGGTCCCATATTTTTTTTATGTTACTATGCTCTTAGCTGTGATAGCCTGATTTTGGTCATATTGTTAATGCGCATAGGGGATGTCGCTTGGATAGAGCTTGAACTAGTAGAATTCGACGCAACATATTTGAGGACTTATTGGCTCTATCAGAGCCATTATCTTCACCCTTCTCTATCTTCTCTTAGTTCCCAATGGCAGAAACTCGCCATGGCTCTCCGTTGTCGCTAGCTCCACTGGCGTAGGAGGGGGTGGTAGTGGTGGTGGAGCCAGTGGCCGCGTCAGTCCTGCCATCTCAGAGCACCTCAAGGCGGTTCTAATGGCTCTACCACTGGAAGAGCCGAGAGTGGTGGCATGCAGCCTCTGCCCGCGGCGCTTCAAGAACCAATCCGCATTGAATGGACATATGCGTCTCCACGGGGGCTATGGGCTAAATCACGCACCTGGTGCTGCCGCTCCCGGTAAGATTCAGTCGTCACAGCCACCTCAGCCGCCGCCTCGGCCATCAACACCCCTTGCTGCCTCAGCTACTGCGGCGAAGTTGAAGAAGGAGCAGCAGCAACAACAAGCACAGCAACTGCCGTTGGGAGCTAGTGGTCGATCGGTACGTCTTGCTGTATTTCAACGCTAAATACATCACAAGTCCTCCAACCCTGAATGCCACTTCATTATCAGCTTAGAGAGTAGTAATTCAGGTTGTTTAGAGCTTTGTGTAGCCTAAATTACAAATATTGAAAAGGCCATTCAAATAAATGTCATTTCTAATGACAGGCATACTGTTGCATTAAGGATGGATTCTCTTGGAAAAGAATGCTGAAGCTAAACTGTGCATTTCGTACAGTAAGTGTACCCTGTACGCCCACCGTCTTTCTCGTTGACATTCGCTTGATCTGGAGATCATTTGATTAGATAAATCGGGTTAACTAGCATTGCATAATGGCTACTAACGTTTACCCCTCCCTCTCCTTCCATTAGTGTAGCATAAAAGTGTTCCTTTGGGAGCATTTCGATTCATTTAATCATTACCTTGTTACATTTTTGGTCATGAAAATGAGTGGTTGCCAAAAGGTATCATGGCTCCAACGCTTCATTTGCTATGAGCCTCCTCGGATCACCTGCCCAGAATGAGATGCTCTTTTACTGTCTTTAAGTCGGTTCCGCCGAGGTTGGACTTGACATTCTTCTTGACGATGAAGACTGTAAACCCAGTAGGAAGATTTTAGCGGATCTTTTTTATCTTCCCCTTCGTTGGGTTGGTTTACTGACAGAATAGAGAACTGATGTTCCTTCGTTTTGTTCCCAAATTATACAATCGTTTTTACCCACTTATTCCTGCAGCCTACGGTGATTTGGCTTTTTCTACTTCTCCATTCTCCTATTGTGAGACGGCTTAATCGTTACTACCTTTGGGTCGTCCGATTGTCTCCAGAGTTTTCATCCACTTTTTTGAGCAGACTGTTTGCAAAATCGCATTGAGATGTACATATTATAGTTATTAATGTGTAAATCGGGAAGCGTATAGTAATTGATGGAGAAGTGCGCGATGATGGTAACGAGGCCTGTTTTGGTGGTCGTGCTTGACGCTTATCTTTTCTTACCCGCCCTGTCTCTTCGCGGCATCTTTTCAGATGCTACTTTTTGGTACTGCTGGTGCTGCTCCACGCATCTGCTTCTCTGTTTATATTCCATCAAAATCTTGCCCTTTCTTCCGCTGCGTCCTTTTAAAAGAAGGCTTCGTAAAAATACTCACGAACACATTGCCAATACCATCATCTAATTTGTGGATGACATCTCTCAGCTCAAGGATTTGGAGTTTATTGGAACGGGAATTTTGTGGCAAAGAATTAAGTTTAGTGTTTGGATCGCTCAAAAAGACACGACTCCATTGAGCGAAAGTTGACAAGCTGAAACCCATCAGACACGTGTTAAGAGTGACATTGTTAACTTCCTCATGAGCTAAAACTCTTGATCTTGGGTATTTGTGTACGTGCTTCTGCTCTCACTCCACTCACTCCACCTTTGAGATCAAGCTGGTCCTGAAGTGAAGGTCTCGTAGGTCAGATCATCTCGAGGTTCTTTGAAGTCATCACCAACCTTGTACCCAGTTAAAACAAATTGGGAGTAGAATTGGATTCCTCCTGAATTTGACGCTGGCCACTGTGTTACTCACACTTGGTCCTATTGAGATTGGTAATGGGATGCCAAAAAACCACTGGACACTCACTGAAGGATCAGTCAATAAGTCATTGTGTGATTAGTACGCCTCAGTCAAATGGAACTACTTTGGTGAGTAAAATTTTGTCTGAAATGCATCTGCGGTGTGACTTGCGGTTATCTAAAATTAATGGGGAAGTTGAGAAAACATTGTCAATGACAAAATGAGTTTCACAGTCTAACCAAATCGATGCTTTAATGCTCTTACTTATTTCTGAAACCGGAAGAAGGCATAATGCTAGGCCAGGAAATGTATTTTCGATGTACAGGAAAGCTGCAGTGTTTCTGGCATTATCTCGGAACCGTCGCTTTGAAAAGTTCAGAAGCAGAACTTCAATATTCCCCAAGGTAGACCGAACTCTAAGGTCTGAACAGGCAATCAAAGCACTATCTAATTTTTTCTTCCCTTTTTTAAGCGTCATTCCCGAACTTTTTCTCCCTAAGCCTCTCATTTTGCCTCAGTCATCAAACTTAAGTGCAACTGAGGCATTTGGCCTCAATTTCATTGACTCCTCTTGCTGATTTTATTGAACTTGAAGTTTTGTACTGTTCGGTAACCGCTTTGGAGGAGGCGCGGCTCTGGAAGCTATTAATTCGGCATTCCCTGCTAGTCATTATGCCCATTGCCTTTAAGGCAAAGTCTTCGACTAATGGACAAGCATTGAAGTTCTTTTGGGACCTAAGGTTTTTTGCCTCTTCCTGCTCGCCACAGCTTCCCCTTGAGTGCCACACCGCCACATGTGTGTCTGGGTTCTGCCCAGATAGTCAAGGCGTTGAAGGATTGTTGTGTGTTTACCTTGGTGACACGTTTGAATAGGACCCATAGGACAGCTCTCGACAGTACTCCTTCAAATGGTTTGAGACTATGGTAATTTTAGCCCCAATTATTTATCAGCTTCTTCCGGCATCTTGATACTCGGAGTTTAAAAATGTAAGTCGTGATGTCTGTCCCCTTGGAATTAAGTTGGCTTTCTTATGCAATCGGCGTTTCTCTTCAACTCATTCCCTACGACAACAGAAGCCATGATACTGAAATTGACAGGATATTTCCGTCAATCTGTACAACGGTGCATTTGTGCCGGCGAAATACTTGAAAACGGAATTTTTTCTTATAAAGATATCAATGCATAAAACTAATGTCTCCTGCTTCCTGAAAATGACGTCTTCATGTGGAAGGCCATTAGATGAAACCCTGCATCTGGAACCAAAATAATTTGATAGTTTTGTGGTAAATGGAATGAAAATGCAGAACTTGAGTCTGCCGGACCTCCCAGTTTTAAAGCGATGCAGCGGCGAGGCCCTTCAATTTTGTGTGCTATCGGCGGATCGCATTGGTAAGATGTGCGCAAGTCAGCTAACTCATGCCCAGTTCTGGTCGGTCACTTCTAAGAGTGCGAACGATACTTTTACCCTTCATCATGGAAGCTTAGGTGCTGGATCCTTTGCGCGCTCTCCCCATTTCATCCACGAGACCGACCTTATAATTGGAGAATAGTGGTGAATCTTTGGATCTTTGATTCCGTTCCTATGGCATCACACCGATATTTTCGACAGTGATCACAGTACATTCTCTCCCGGTGGATGTTCTCCATTTTCTCCCCCGTCCCCTCGATCGAAGGAGTCCCCTTTGCTATGTAATTGGCCAAAATTCAAGGCGTGCATCCGCTTCCACTGTCTCTCCTTCTAGCCCTGATGATAGGAGTCAGGTTCAAAATCGCGTTGTGATTACTATTTGTACATGAACTTCCACTCTCCTAGAATTAACGCTAATGGTGGTAGGAAATTCCCCTCACAATACTACTGATCCGAATTGGGCTATGCTCCCTTTTTAATAGTTTGCATTACCCTGATACCATTTGCACTACTTTCACCACCACTAATTATCGCATCCTCCTTCTATATGTTGTTGGTGAGAGAACTCCCTTTTCTACATCCGCTGTACTCCGTGCTACAGTTTCCGTTTTACTCCATCATGAGCCTTTAAGGCCTTAGCGCTTTCACTCAGGACCCCCGTCTCTGCCCACAGTGGTGTAGGAAATTTGCGGTTCTAAGCCCTTCTTATAGGATGAATATATGTTCGTCTTAGGTCTGCAAAACTCGTGCGGCCATTTGGATGTGATATTTTCGTGACTGCCGCACGCTGGTATGAAGTAGGACGGTGAAGGGGGGAGGGGAGGGGCGAATACTATCGTCGCCTCTCCACTGGGAATTGCTGTCTAATTACTGTCTAAATAGACCTCCCTTGTTCACCCCCACCCTTTTTCCCCCTCTCCTCCCACAGGTCATTTTCACACTTGTAGCAACGGGTGTGCTCTTACCCCGCTCCTTCCCTTTTCCTCCCATCCCCACTTAAATTCCTAAATGTCAATTATTGCTGTCCAATCGGATGTCGGCTACATCCTTCCTCAATATTCTGGTCTGTGAGACTGAGGCAATGGGCTAGATGATGCAGTTATAACACAGAGCTGTCTAATTTTGGGCAAAAGTTTATTCTGTTAGGAAGACACAAGAGTTTCCTGTTTTCGAACCTTTGTGTTTAGGATTTGTGAAACCGTGAACTTTTAACAGTAACAGTGTTTCCACTCTACAGAGAAAATCTTTGAAGACCAACTTCACTTTAACCATACTTCTATTAGATGCTTAATAAGTGGGTATTCGAATATTTAAGCAGGTTTAAAGGGGAGTTTTGTAATTATTTTGTGTCTCCTGTTAGGGGTGCGAAATCGGGTTTACTTGGCACAAGAGAGCTGCCAACCCAGGCATTCGCCTTGCCCTCACTTAGCTCGTGTGACTTTGGATTCCTTTCAAACTTCCAGTGAAGTTATAAGCTTGAATCTGTGTTTTAAAGGTTTTCAAGTCCTGGAACTAAAAAGTGTTGTGTTCCGAGTCGCTTTAAACATGTTTGGAGTTGCTTGGTGGTGCTGCTGGTGAGTTCTAAAGAAGTACAACTAGTGTATAAAGTTAAAATTTAGATGAAATGTAAACGGGAGAGCGGATGACCGAAGCCGATGCCGCAGTTGTACTGGTCCAATGAAAAGTTCGTGTTTTTAAGTATAAAAAATGGCATTAAAAGGGGCATCACTATGCAATCCTATTTCAATTGCTCATTAAATGCTTTCGCTACTGACTGTCAGTGGCGATTAAAGGGCGCAAGGTGTATTACTACTATTGTCCCTGGTTTCACGCTGCTTTGAAAATCTTACCTTCCAGCCTCTAGAGCCTTGTGTGACTCTTGATCTTCTGTCCCTCACTCTTTCAGTTAAATGACTCCCTCTTGTTGCTTCGTGATCTTCCCGAGACCAAGTCGGAGGGTTCGGCAAGTCTGTTTGACTGGCCACCCACACCAGCCACTACAACTACTGTTGTTACGGGAGTAGCACCCTGTGTTTCCTCTGCCACTGTCGCTGTAACAGCTTCTCGATCAATGCGTCCCTGGCCTCCACACACCTCTCCTGTCAATCAGCAACAGTCAACGCAGACTCTTAGTCAATCTCCCTCGGTAGCAATAAATCGTTATCATCATGGCCTGTGTAATCAACTTTACTAAATCATTAAAAGTGGCTCTGTATTGTTCTTACAGGGAGTCTACGATGCAGCAAGGACAGATCTACCGCGAACGCATTCTGAACTGCATTTTAACGAGTCCGGCGCCGTTCCTTCAACGGCCGTCTATCGAAGTGCTGGATTTCGAAAGCGTCCTTCATCCACCACTTTCAGTGGGCCCTCATCGCCACATCGATTTCGAGCAGGCACTGTACCACACGAACACGCTTGGGTCGCCCATCAACCGATGCAGTTACCACCACCGCCGCCGCCACCTCCTCCACCGCCACCGGGCCTACAGTCGCTGCGTGGGCGTAATGAAGTGGATCCCATCTTCAATAACCTTCGATTGTTGGATTCTACCCCAGCTGTTCTTCGTGATCAAGGTGAATCTGGCTAAATACATGCAAGAAATGGCGGCATATTAGTCCATTATTTAACCACTTTTTTCGGCCTTGTAGGCAGGTACATCTCTCGCATGGCGCCGCATCAATTCCAACATCACAGTAATGGTAACGGCAGCGGCGGTGGTGAATATCCTGGCTCGTCACTTGCAATGTTCGGGGCAGAGCAATCAGTTTTCTTCCCTGGATCCTCTTCCTCTCCCTATCATCAACGTAGTGATAACAACACGTCAACTTCTGCAGCGCCTCAACCGCACTATTCACCAATAACCCCGGCTTCGGGAGGATTTGGCACCTCCTCAGCTTCTTCAGCCTTCACCTTTCCCCCCACCGATGCTCTTCTAGCCTCAACTTCCACAGCCTCACCTCCGGTGCAGCCACGGACACAGTCGCAACAACCGCAGCAACAACAACAGCAATTTCTTTGCCCCTGTCCACCAAGGTCTACACCCTTTGAAGAAACAAGTGAGTTTCTACTTGACTGAATTTAAGTAAGTCAATTTTCTAGCACCCTCATCTTGTTACCTAGATAAGTGGATGCCTCAAGCGCCAGCTTCAGTTGAGTTGATGCTCTCTCCGTCCTCCTCGGTTGCTCCAATAGGTCAGTTTTCACCTCCTCCGCCACCACCTACGCTACCGCACGCACCGCCAACTTACCAAGAGACATTACCCTCCAGTCTCTACACATCGCCACGAGAGGAGAATGAACAGGAGACTTCTGTGTCAAATTCCACATCTGTATTACCTCATGGTATCAGTTCAAATCAGTTTGTTCAGCAGCATCAGTCGTCTTTGTACGGACAGCGCTCAAGAACACTCTGCACGAACTCTGGTTATGATGAGTAAGAGCACAGTTGATTTTTATTTGTACATTAGCACTCGGTGATTTGCCACGGCATAGTGAATAGTTCTTCTTTGGACAAGAAAAGTGAGAGAACTGTTGTGCTACCCAATCCCATAAGACTTCAAAGTCTGTTTAAATAAATGTTTTGTAAGTATCTCTTCAGACTAATTAAGCGATTCGTTTTAGTTTGGTAATGCGCCATCCGATGACACCGCAACACAATGCCCACGATGGTCAACCACGCGCCTACTCCTACAGCGCCACCTCGACCCAAGCTGCCTACTCAGTGCCCCTAATGCCTAGTCAAGAACGGGTTTTCTTCCCTGATGAATTGGACCCTCTACTGGCATCTCAGGAGGCAACGAAGGACGCTCGACGTCCAACTACCCCTATTCCCGAACTTCTTCCACCCCAACCGTTGCAATCGTCGCATCAAACACCAAAGCAGTGCTTTGAATTAAGCTGTGTTCCTCCCCACAAATCTGCATCGGATGAGGGGAATATTTTCAGAAATCCTCAGCCTCCACCAATCTTACCTCCTCCTTCCTCCCTTCCACTCCCGCAATCCCTACCACTGTCAACGTCATCATCCGCAGTATCGGCACTAAAGAAGGTCAAACGGAAACCGGCACCCATTGTCATTCCTTCGGTTAGAGCCTTGATTTCCATTAAACCAAGCTCTCCTTCCCACGTTCATGCTTATTCATTTTTCGTTTCTGCAGTTCACTCACCGAATAAATCCATCGCGACTTCGTTCACCGCGTCTATGGACTGCGAATGGCTCCAGTGATGGCTTAGGTGGCGGTGATTCTGGCACGCAATCGATGGGATTGGTAGCATTGGGGGCTTTGTTGGAACCACCGCCTTATACTCCACCTCCGATGCTCTCGCCTAATCGTCGCGGCTCAGGCCTTTTCTCATCAATTGCCCGCTTCAGACGTCCTCTGCGTACAACCACTTCTCACATCCGTGTTGCCACCACCACAGGAACTGCCAACACCTCCACAGGTGCAACACTCGCCGCCACAATCAACAAGGCCTCTGTTTTTGCTGCCCCAGTCGCACCTCATGCCTCTTCACCCGGTCCACCAAAGTCGGCTCCAGCTTTTGTCAAAAACTTGGTTGATTTACCCTCTAGAGTGAGTTTATATGAAAAGAATTCCGACCTGCTAACTATGTAATCGTAGCAAACCATCAGAACATGAGGTCATTTGTTTATTCCTTTCATCGTCTCCCTTTAGACCTTGAACGGTAGTGTTGTCGCTGATGATGCAGCTCCGCCAACAGTTGCTATGCGTGCGTCAACACCAGAACTGGCAGAAGAGGGGTGTCGGGTCTCCAAACCACTCTTTTTCGGAGACGAGGACGACGAATTCACATCAATGTTATCTGTAGCGGAGGGTAGCGGTGATGCTACGGCGGGAGGCAGAAAAGACACGTCAGATGCAGAGGAGTCGAACGTTCGTTCACCTCACCGAACTGGGACAGCTGCTAATGTTGCCGCCACCAACGCGAACGCTGCTACCAATGTCTCTCACTCTTCGTCATCATCTTCCTGTTACTGTTGCTCTGAAGTCTCATCTGCGCGTCCTCGTGTGGGTGAAGACGAGGAAGATGAAGACGAATCAGAAGATGACATTGTTGAGGACATCGGTGTGCCCAGCAACTTCGAACCGTGGGTCTTTATCTCTTACATTTTGAGCATTCATTTCTACATTTCGCTTCGAATGACATCTTCATTTGTAGAAAAATTAATGTTGGAGCTGTCTATCAGGCGGAGGTTCCCGACTTTGTTGGTGTTATCGATGCCTACCATGATGATACTCGAGTCTATGATGTTCTTGTCTGGAATCCGAAGAACATCGACGAGAACGACCCCAAAACGGAGGAGTCTTGTGAGCTTCGTCGACTCCTCTTACTTGTGTATTTATCTTTAAAATAATCGAACTCCTCTACTCTTCTTTGCAGTGTCCAATCTTATGAACTTGGCACGCTCTCCCGTAGTACGAAATTGCGGTCTCAATATGGAATACACTTTTCATCTGCTGTGCAAATTCCAGGGCGATTTCGAGATGACACTGCGTGCTCTGCTCCACGAATCCTTCACTATATTTGATCGAGTCTACTCCGGTGGGCGGATTTTTGAAATTATTGATATTTTTCCTACTGGTCTTTCTTTCAGAAACGGAATACTGGACCACAGAGGAGATTGAAAAGTTTCAGACCAGTCTTCGTCGTCACGACAAGGACTTTCATCATGTTTCAGCCGAGCTTCAGGCCTATGGAATGAACAAGTCTGTGAAAGCTTGTGTCGAGTTCTACTACGTTTGGAAGCGAATGAACACGCCCCATGAGGTCAATCGGTGAGGTTCTTTTTCATTTCCGCATCAGATTATTGTCCACCAGTTGTTTTGATGCCGTTGTGTACCGTTAGCTACCGGGGTCGAGTACATCGCAAGGGTGTTCCAACACGTGGGGATAGAACTGCCCCTGAAGAGGTCGCTCACCCTCCTGCCAATGAGATCTGTGATCTTAGCGGTGTGGAGAACCATCCTCATCAAGCGTCATTTAACCTTGAAGTGCCTCCTACTTTGAGTGCTGAGGGGACTGCCGGTTTCTCAGCGTCGTACAATTTGCGTAGTAAGCATACCGACCTTCCGCCTTCCATCGTGAGTACATCCAAATGGCTCCATGCTGACTGCACTGCCGGATGCCGAGGCCGTGGTAAGACTGTGCTTTTGTGCTTTATAGAATCGTGAGTTCGAAGATCAGGGCGTCCCCACAACGCATGAGCCAGAGACAATGACATCGACATCAGCAGTGGTACCGATAGTGACAGAGGCGGCAAGGGAGAGGAGTGTGGAGGGATTCCCCTGTCGTCAGTGTGGCCGCTGCTTTGCCAAAGTAAAGAGCAGGAATGCTCACATGAAGTCGCACGTCGCTTCAGCACACAGCAAACAAGACCAATAGAGACATTGTTGAATTTACTCGTCCACCGAATCACCCACTCCACACATCTATTTTTCTGATTCCACCACACCACTTTGCCCTTCAGAGACGCTATTTTATTTAATCCATTGCGCCAGTCTTTCTCTGATTCATTCTCTCTCCTCCTACGCTCACGTCTGCTCCGCATCCCCTTCCCCCCACGACTGTTTCGTCCGTGTTGTGTTTGTGCTGTGTTGAACACAAAGCGTCCACAAGCTCCCTCCCCCTTCCATCCCCTCGCATCAGACCTGTCACTTCCTCCCCTTTCTATGCGCTCCAACACCATCCTCCATTTGGCTGGTGGCGTGAATTCGGTGGAGTTGTTTTTTTCTTCCCTTTTCTCGCATTCTTGTCTTTGACAGATTGATTAACCGCTGAAGAATTGACGGGGCGAAGGAGGAGGCGTAGACGAGAGAAGAAGAGATTTGCGATTACTGAAGGCGAGAAACCTTGCATCATGTCTACTTTTCACACTTACTCTACACGCATCCTCATGCATTATATATACATATTATTCAGTCTATTTTAAGGCTAATAAACATAACACCTATTTTTCACTCATTCCTTGTTAATTCCGTCGGTTAACGATCGGTCATGGAAGGTGGATCATGGATTAACTTATTTTATGTGTTGTTGTATAGTCTAGGCTTTTGGAAACGGGAAATTTGAGGAACTGATGTCGAGTGTTCGGTGTGTCTATGTGGCTCCGGCTTTCTTGATCTGGGAGGATTTGAGCCACTGAATGCGATGCCTCCAATTTGCCCACTTACCTGTCTGTAAAAACGGGCTAATGCGTGCCGTGTCGGGTTAAAATACTCGACCTACTTCACGAAGGTGACTGCATTCCACCTATTTAGAATGTCACTCGTCTGCATCGCTTTACCGGCACACACTGACGTGCATGTTGCTTTTCAAGTGCTCAATCTCATGCGAATAAAAATGTCATTCCTCCACCCATAGCGGTAAAAAAGAACAGACTTGAGCGAAAGAAACAGCATTGATGGTTTTGCGAATTAATCGAGTCAGAGTGTAACTTGCAAAACATGGAGTAGCAGGTCTAACGCTTTGTCCGGTTGGCTGTTGTCGATTTCTATGGTTGTCATTAGCTGGTCAGATCACCTAAACCAGGCGGTCGGTGTTTGACTCACGCCGGCAACACTCATTCCTTGCCCATTTGCCATTATGGCTTTTGCTAGCTATAGAGTGTTTTCAAGGTGCTGCGGCCATCCTGGTCCCACAAATGCGCTCATATACGGGAGTTTGTCTTGACAAGATGCCTTTAGCATGGAACCTCATTTTAATCCGAAGAATTTACGCAAATACTTAGGGCGTACACTTTGTGTCCTTGATTGCATGTATGAATGGAGGCCGTTTTTAACTTTTGTTGGGTTAAATCGCCTTTGGGCCGTGTTCATTCTGTAATGCCCTTTTTGTGCGACCACCTGAGGATTGGTGATAACTTTAGGAGTTGTATTGTCCTTATACGTGTGGGCTGGCCTTCAGGCCATGTTCAGGCCTAGTTGCTTTGTTCTCCAGCTCCATTTACCGCTTTCTTCTACCCGGTGGGAAGTCTGGGAGGGCTACACATTCGACTGTTAGTATGACTGGCAGTCATATTGGCACTTATTTTGCTCTTATTTGCTTTGACTGGTCATTAGACCAACTCAAAGCCCAATGTTTCCCCTTCTCAGTGAATGCATCCACTTAACCCAACATAATGCCTCCTTCTTACCAAGTGGGAGGCCTCAGGACGTTGCGTACCAGTGACCCCTTCCCGCTAAAATAAAACGCTCAGCTATGCCTTATGCCTTCTAGTGTGATGTTAAAAGGAAGAAGGTAAAAGACCTATAAGATTATAAAATTGCTAAACTACAAAAGAACTGCAGTGCTTTAATTATGTGACCATCTGATATCTGGCCGTTACTTTGGTGTTCGTCATACCCTTGTATGCGTGGGTTGGCCTTCGGGCTAAGCCAAGGCCCATTCCCTACGTTGGTGGTAGTGGAATGCGCACCCGAGATTTCATCGACTTTCCCTTAGTACCCACCGTTTGTGACATACATTTACAGTGCAGAGGATGCACAAATACGTCAACTGAGAAATTCTCTAAATTGGATTGGAAATGATGGCTGCATTTTCCTCCACCTTGTCCCTATGTTACACAGCCAAGCCATTAACCACTGAAGCAACACCTCTGTGAATTTTTGAAGTAGTTTCCTATCAGAAAGCTCTCTCACTACTCCGGATCGTCTTACGCATGGGACCGTATTTGATCCCGTCTTCTGGTTTAGGGCACGATTCATGGTAAAAAAACTGTAATGCTTTGTATATGTTACTATCTGAAGTTTGAAGGTCACTTTGGGAGTTGTCTGACCCTTGCACGTGTGCGCTTGCCTTAAGCCACGATCAGGACGAATTGCTTTGTCCTCTTTGGAATTCATGCACCCAGCTTCACTTAATGCCTTCTTCCATCCTGTGGGAAACCTTAAGACGCTACAAAAACATCTCTATAATCGTTCCCTTAGGCTAACTTTAGCTCTAAACCAAGCTTAGGTCAGCGAGAAGAGCAATTGCAATCTCTCAGTCTCATAGCAGCTGGTGAATGGTGAGGCTGGCTCGTGGGTATCCCCTTGTTGCACTGATTATGTTATGATGTTTGGCACAAAAGGTCCGCCAAGGTCAGTAAAAGTGCTTTGATTGTGTGATCACCTGATATCTGGCCGTTGCATTGGTATTATTCCCGAAGAAGTACGTGTAGGCTGACATTTGGACCATACTAAGACCCTATACGTTCTTGCTTTCAAAAAGAAATGTGTTCAGCTTAAATCGATACTGCCTTTTGCATAAAGAGAAGTCTCAGAGCTTTACAAGTGCTGCTGCAAATTCTGAATTTGGAAAGTATTAGTATGCAAGAACTGCAAGCAAATTCATATTTACATATTTTTCGCATGTAAAATATTACACTTTATTTATAACAAGCCTTTTTTGCATTTTCTCTAATGGCATTTAAGTGTATTTTGTTTAACTGCACGAGCTTTGGGCGTCTATTATACGCAACTTTGAACACCTGTGGAAGATGGTCAGTGGGTTCTGGTTCGTTTACTTCCTTTAGGCTTCTGGTGTAAGGTGCTCTGACGAGTGTTTGGCTAAGTACAATGAACTTAAGTTGAAGAAGAACTGTCGATATATTTTGTATAAAATCGAGGATCAGAAGGAGATCATCGTTGATAAAATTGGCGACAGACGTACGTCTCTCAAAGACTCACTATTATCACTATAGGTTGCACTTTTGAGGATTTCAAAGCTGATCTTGAAAGCCTTGAGAAAAGTGCACGCTATGCAGTCCTTGATTTTGAACCAGATAATACTAAATCGGATCTGCTACTCGTTTCATGGTACATCATTTAACTAGTGCTAAACTTGCTCTAGGATTCCTGATACTGCTTCTGTTCGTGAGCGCATGCTGTATGCGTCCTCTACTGACGCTCTGAAGTCACAGCTTACCGGATTTAAAAGCTTTGTCCAAGTAAACGAAAAAGCTGATCTAAATGTGAATTTCTTCATGGAATCCATTCCAGGCTATCGCAAATGAGGAAATAATCGTCCATTCCTAACTTTTTAAAATAATTCTCTCTGTGTCAGCGAAAATGAAACGGTTCTTGTCCTTACGATTCCATAATTTTATACGCGTCTGGCTTTAATACAAGCTTGTTTTGTTTTGACCTCTCTCCTCACTCAATCTCTTCTATTACGCAGTTTCCCATTTTGAAAGTTCCTAAGTCTGTGATCCTGTGGGGAGAACCCAGTTTGGTGTGTCTTTGTTTACTCTCCGTGACGCTCTCCCGTTCGGTGTGCGCTGATTGTGCGACGTTGTGCTTGTTTGGTAACCAATTGGCATTCATCGGCTACTGCAGTCACACGGTAGGGTGCTCTTGACACTTGCCACTTAGTTGTGTGTGTGCAGTGAAGCGAGTCTTAGCATATCAAGCGGTTGTGCTGTTTGAATCGCTTGCTCGTTTAGGAGTTTGCTGTAATCATGGGCTGTCAGCTGGACCGGGCTGTGATTTTTAGCCTCTCAGAGATTTGTTAAATCATACTTTATAGTTGATATTGCAGTTGCAAATCGGTTGTTGGGTGATGTTCGGTCGTTATGGTGGTCGTGTCCTTGACGTTTGAGGTCAAGTTGAGAATAGCTACTTCAGCCATTAGTTGAGGTGCTCTATGCTGCGTTGATCTGTTTTTAGCAGTAAGGCGACGTCATTTGTCAGGCGCGGCAGGCAGTCCCACTAATTGTGACATTCGTAGCTCGGCAGATGTGCGCTGGTGCCGCGCGAGGAGTAACCACTTGGGTGACTCACAAAGGACGAGGCGGCGGGAAGAGGGTTCTTCTAACTGGAGGATAATAGAATTGGAAGTGTCATAATAAATTCCGTGACTGCATTAAGCGTCAATTAAGAGTGGCCTTGGTGTCTCCACCGGTTTTATAGATCTCAGTATTCAACCTGACTCGGCTTAACTAACACTAGACCTCGTACTAAGGCCGAATTACGACTTGGTACTTGTTACTTCAAAGGTGGGCGCTATCTTATGACCAGTTTCATCAAGAGACAGCTTCATCTGCAATGCAGTTTGAAGGTGAATAAAGTTCTCCAAGCTGTTACGATTTTTTTGTAGCCCAGTCAATAAACTCTCCTCCTTAACTGACACAAGGTCATTCTACTTTCAAGCTCAGACTAACAGAAAGTTGTGCTAGCACGTGGTTGTAATAGCAGGCATGGTCTAACTGCATTCTCAAAGTGCAATTTTTCTAAATGGGGAGGGTGAGTGCCTTCTTGATCGCTGTTACTCACTCTCTCTGAAGATGATAGCTGTAAAGCTAAAAGTACGACTGCTAGGTGGGTGGACCGTACCAACACAATGTCAAGGCGTTGTACCTACTCTGATCGTTCATAACCATATAAGGGTCTCAACTTATAAACGTAGTTGCACAAACACGCACACAATGGTGTTTATGCGATTGGCAGGCGCTCTAATAACTGACGAGGCCTGCTTTTGACATAATGATGCAATACTGAGGTGAAAACACATTGTTACGATGCGAAGTGAGAGGGGTAGCCCGCGCCCGTCCACAATAGGCAGCATTGCAAATAGTAAGCTTCACCTGGTGGACGAGGAAAGAGTTGACAGGCATTCATTAAAAACAAAAATTGGAGACATTGAAGCAATTCGGTTAATTTTGGTTATTCGCCAACAGTTTCCGTCTACACCGAGTAGAGGTAATTATCGTCGAAATGTAAACTAATCACCATGCCTTAAGAATTTTCCGAATCAGTAAAATTTCCTTATGAGACTCAAATCGAAGGATTTCGAAAAAAACTGTTTATTTCTGCCATGCTGAGATTAAATTTTGATAAGACAGTATAACTATAAAGGCGGGGTTGCAATTAAAAGATTATTCACACTTTCCATTATTTAGAAAACCACTGAGGATTCAAAGAGGACCCAAACCTCAGCAAAATTAAGTCATTATCTGCATCTTATTTAATACGGGCTATAAAGTTGTAGTTTACCTTAGAAGCCCATATCGTCTCGCTGGGTAGAATAAGGCTGTAAGGTGGAACAAGCAATTTTGGGCTTTGTTTGACCCGATGCCAGTACGAACGTACAAAAGCAATACAAAGGACAAAGCAAACGCCAGTCTTAGCTTATCCTTCTTCTCGTCTCGGAGACGTCCTAAAAGCATCCTCGATATACCTCCTGCATGGGCCGTCACGACATATCCGCTGTTGCAAGGAAGCACGCACGAGCGAACCGCACCAGACATCGGCTATCATGAGGATAAGGGAGTGTACGTGGTCTCCTCAAAAGCTTCACTTGGATCTAGAACTATGTTACCCTAAACTCAGGTTGTAGGAAGCATTCTTTTACTAAACAACTATTAGGCTTAAAGAGCATAGAATACTTGTCTAAACCGAAGTGAAACTAGGAATGTGAGACCAAACACGACCCATGAGGGAGAGAATTTATTGTAAAGTCATAATCTGTACGGGTTGTGGTAAAGAAAATTCCGATGCGAAGCTTTTACGGATAGTTAAACGCGATGACGCCTCTGTTATTAATAGCTTGCGAAAGGAACACGGTATGCGGTAGATGCCACTCGCTGACGTCGATCTTAACTCTTCACCAATAAAGAACGTGAGAAAGGTCTGGTCCAAAAATGAGCCCTACATTTATGACACAGGAGTATGTCAAAAATGATGGCGCATTAGAAATTAATTCTTAGCATTACATGACTTCCCACGAGGTAGAAGAGGGCATTCAGTAAGGGCGAATGCATGCATTCAAAAGAAGAGGAAAACGGAAGTCGATTTAGCTTAAAAGCTAGAATGCTAAACAATAGCACAATAAATACAATAAGAGTCGCCAGTCACACAGGCAGTTAAATGACCCAAGAATTACAGTGCCAAACCATCATTATGGTACTTGTAATCGAAAATTTTCCTTTTCGTGAAGAACATGGCTAAAATTATGACCGGCGAAGTGGCACAAGAACTTAAAATCATTTACTGCATTCATTGTATGATTTTGGAATGCCGTTCACAAACGTGGTAAATGGGGTGAAAATTGGAGACATTGTAGACCACCATTCGTGTGTGGATACATCTCACTGATATCCTCTAGTCTATAAATATAAATGTTTCTGCTAAAATTTAAACAATTCACAATTGTTTTGCATGAATATCGCATGAGCATTCATGTGTCTAGCTTGCATTTGCTAGAGTATTAAGTATTCCAAGTTGCAAAAGACATACACAATTTTTTGCTAAATAAATTTTTCCAAAAGCGGATACATGCTTAATGACTTTATTACATGCATAATTTGTAATGTTAAATTTTAATTATTCTGTGTTTTGTTTTGTCAAATATCTTGCAGCCG